ATGACGCGTTCTGCTCATGCGCTCTTGTTATCATAGAACTGAGGCAGGGAAAAACCGAGCCGAGCCCACCTCTGGAACTGGTCTGCAGTTAGCGCGGTGCGGTTGTTTCTGTCTCGGTTCAGTTCAGTTTGCTTTCCATTTACACACGATAAGTTATCTCAGTTACTGAGCTCGGACCGGTCTGGGCACGGTTTTTCAAGGGTAGCGTAAATGGGGTAATACTCTGCACTGTACAGTACCTTCCTAGCTGACATTTACAACTCTCCAGCCCTTGCAGGTAATGGGTGTTTCCCTCTGGGAGAAATATTGCAAACTGGTCAGTTGCCAACGCCTGTATTGATTGACAGGTAGCTTCATGTCAATTACCGTATCCAAACATTACTACAAGCCTTTTATTACAAATGTTTGTAATAAAATGGCTTCTATCAAACGTTGTGTTGGTCTGACCAATACAAATTTTTCCTTTTTCAACAAAACTCTTCAGAATTGTGAGCAAAACTTTAGAAGCGTATTTTGATTCTATTTCTTAGCTGTTTGTACAGTTCCGCTTTTAAAAGTGTTTTTACGCTGAAAAACCTTTTGATTGATATTATCAAAAATGAACAACATTCCCCTCATATAAGTATAGCTTGCACAAACAAATAAACAATACTTAATAACACTGCTAAAAGGTAAAAATTAAATAGAATAAGAATTACAATTCAAATACAAGAGATAATGTGAAATCTATGTCAATGTTTCGCTTACAAATTATACCAAGAGTATAATTAGAGGATCAAGGCTCTTATTTCTGGTTCCTAAATGGCCTAAAAAGGCAACATTTCCTGCATCTCATACACAGGCAAAGTAATCTTTAAGTGGTGCAAAGAGATGGCGGATGACAGGGACACTCCATGATCGGCCCAGGAGCCTCTGCCTCCCCAGTCGACTCATGTTGGAAACGTCTGTATAGTGGACTGGGAAGCCAAATATCCTGATGAGAGCAACAACAAACAAACAGGATAAGAAAACAGAAATCTGACTTTAACCTTTAAAGTTTTGTCTGTCTGAGAAATTAGTGTCATAGTGGGATCACAATCAAGGAAACTGCAGCAGGTGTTCCACAGGGATCCTTTTCAAGCCCCATTATTTCAGTTTCACTCAAGTTTATCTCAATATTTGAAGAAGCTTTCATGCTGTTTCACAAGAATTAAATTATAAGTCAGAGAAAATGTTGGCATTGTTGTGGACCTGGTGCTTCACTTCAAATACATTGAAAATGAGCTGTATTTGATGTTCTGTTAAAAACTTTCAGCTGCAGAATCATTCCAGGACATATTTTACTGTAGTAGATCTACCAGAGTTGTTTCAAGAGATAATGTTCAGCTTTCTCAGTAAAAAACTCTCTAACAGTTTGAGGTTAAAGCTATTATGACTATGAATCTTGTTGAGAAATCTACCTGTTTCTGCAGCAAATGTGTTTCTGTGTCATAAGTGTTTGGTTTTTCATTGTTGTGTGAATTGGGTTATTTTTTTCAGGTTCTTATCTCTTATAGAGTGCCTTAAATTTTAATGTTTGATTATACATACCTCTCTATCTCAGTGCACCAAAGAATGTCTTCCTTTTCATTCATACAGACGGGGAAATGCTGATCCTTTCCTTGCTTGATGGAATTAGACCTGGTGGTGATGGTCCTCACTTTCTCAAACTAAAACAAAAAAAACAAAACAAAAAAAAATTAAAAACAATCACGTTTTTAGTCTTTTAAAGACTAATTATTCAAAAATACTTTTACAAAACTATTTTTATG